TCCCGCATCATCGGGGAATATTTATCCGGAACCTGGTCCATGGAAGCAGAAAACTTGATCCAGTCTCAACTAACTCAGATTGCCGTTTTGAACAGTACCCGTGTTGAACCAGTGACTTTGGGTCAATTCACCGATTGGATATCTTCTGCTTTTTCCTTCTTTAAAGAGTGGGTGGGAGTAGGCATTTTTGGTGCAATGTGTTGCTTCAGTGTTGTACTCTGTTTGTGGTTTCTCTGTCGCCTTAAAACTTGCCATGCACAAGAAAAGGCTATGATCATACAAGCTCTTGCAGCTTTAGAAAATGGCAACTCGCCTCAAGTCTGGCTTGCGCATCTTAAGCAGTAAACCTTTGTCATGGTCGTTACACCCCAAGTTATTATAACATTGCACTGGGATCGACATGACTTTCCTTGTTATTCTCTTAGTGTTGGAAAGCCCTTGCACTCTGCCGGTCTTACTGCCATTGCACGCAGATGGGTTTCCACACTAGTACTTTTCTATCGCCTTGAAGTTCATGCCTTTCTTTCAGGGTGCTGTCAACTTGTTTGTCATTATAAATAGCCACAGTTCAGCCTCAGCTATCTCCCTTTGTCCACCATCGTCACGATACAGGATGCGAGGCAAGGCACTGCACTTGAGTGATCCTTGACGAGGACCTCAAGGAGAGCATGTCCTATTGCATGCGGGTTAGACGGGTCCACGCCCCGCCCTGCGAAAAAAGGTGTCGGCTGATATGGCTTCAGATCTGGGGAAGGCGCCTCCTTAGGACTGAGTCATACTATGCAGCCACTTCTGCACAGTGGGATAAGACCTCTACTCTCGCCTGTATTGTTTTAAGAAAACAGAAAAGGGGGAACTGTGGTGAGCCGCTTCTGCCGTTTCTGCAGATTATGGTCGCCATTACAAGATGACGCTGGCTCCGCTGTGGTCAGTGACAAACAACTCCTTATCTGGGAGAGTTGGCACATGATTTTTCACCACCCTGTGAGAAAGCTCCACGCGGCAGCTTTGCATTGGGGCTTGGGATGCTTTATTAAGGCTGGGAGGGGCATCCGGGAGAGAGAAGAAGAAATATCAAGGGCCTGAATAAACTGTTGAAAGAAGATTCCCGAGTTGCGTCTTCCTTGCGGGCAAGGGGTCGCGACAATACAGGACCCTATAGACCATGTAAGGAGATTCCTTTTATTCTCAAAATAATGCTTTACTCTGTCTATGAGAACTATGAACTTCTTCCAGTTCCATTTCCATTTCAATTTTTTGTAATGACCTATTTAAAAGATTTCTGCAAAAAAACATACTGGAAGAATGGAAAGAATAGATCTATGGACACCACTGGACTCCAATGCCATAGGTCAGGCAAGACCTGCATTATGATGTTGAAGGAGATTCAAAAGCTGGCTGATTCAAAAGATATTCAGGAGATCAAATGAAAGCGACTTAATGTAAGCTTGGAAAGGAGGAAGGAAGCTTTCAAGGTGTAAACCATTTCACTGCAAATATGAACAGAGTCTCAACACTAACCATCTGGATTACAGGAAGATCTCTCAGGTGACACTTGTTAGGAAGCTCCAGTTTGCCTTTGGTGATTCCTGAAAATAATGGAAAAGAACTTTTCAAGACTGGTCTCACTCCAGATACTGAGAAATTCATTCAAATTTATTTTCTTATTTTATTTATTTATTTGGTACAGGGATTGAACTGAGGGGCCCTCTGCCGTATCCCAAGCCTTATTTTGAACTCTCACTGAGTTCCTTGGCACCTCTCCACATTCTCTTCTCTCCGCCTCCAGAGCCACTGGGATTACAGGCCTGCTCCACCGCGTCAGGCTCAAATTGAAATCTTTTTACTCATATATTCTGTGGTTCAATTGAGGAGGGGGTTCCATTTGGATGATCAAGGAGCATCCCCAACACCAAGTCCCGCCTCAAAGCACTAGTAGACCCAAGGAGCAATGGATAGAGCCTTCCCCTTTTAAAAGGGTGGGCGAATTCACTGACCTCTACAGCTTCTTTCAGCTTCTGTCAGTGGCGCAGGCAGGGTCAAAGTCTCTAATCCCAGCTTGGTGCGTGTGCCAAGCTCCTGGCAGCGACAGTGAGAGGCTAAGATACAAGACATGGAGCCCACACCCAGAAGCTAAGAGCCAGAAGGGCCATCCCCAGCACCCAGGGCATATTACCTTTTTGCGATGCGGTTTCCATCCTTCCTCTTTGCTGAGAGATGTCCAGAAAAGTCGGGTGCCCGGCCCCAGCCACTGCGGCCATGACGCCATTGATTAAGGTGGGAGCCGAGAGGACGTCCACCCAATGCCAGCGGGTCAAAGGGTCGAAGACTTCAGTCAGCTCCTGGGTGCCAGAACAAGATACCCGGTAGGAAGAGCCTCCCTGGCACCTACCCACACAGTGCCAGGCGTGTTGCCACTGCGCCTGCGCCACCGCCACCGCCCCTCGTGATGGCTCACAGACTGGTTTGCTGAGTCGCTAGATTGACAAACAGGACTTTGGCGGCGACAGCGCCATCTATGGCCGTAGGCCTGTAGCACAGGTTTGTGAGTTTTTGTGAGCACTGAGTTCAAATGGTACAGGACCTGCAATAAAAAATTAGGTCCCTCTGCACCCAGTTCCTACCGTATTCTTTAAGATGTGACCCAGTGTTTACATTTACATTTTGTGTATCTTATAGAAATATCTACTTTCACATATCTGTGTATCCTCTACTTACATTAGAACAGCTTAGGATACGTTCTCTACCATGTGCCTAAAATATTGATTTTTCTCCATTTATACGTATATCCAAGTTTCTTAATGACCATAGAGCATTGCATGGACTATAAGTAACATAACTGAAAGTAACAGCGTTTATTTCACCGGTCCCATGTTGAAGAACCTCTAGTTATTACAAACTTTGGTTTTAGGTTTTGGTCTTCTGTTACAGACCATGCAATGCAATATCCTTACACATATGTACAACTATATCTAGAAATAGAAATACCTAGAAAAAATTCTAAAATTAAGGATACACAACTTAAAATTTAGAAGGATACTGCTTAATTGATCTACCAAAATTCTGTCAACCTACACTCCTATTCATAGACAGACTTTTACTGGGTTACTATTTCATAACATGCTAAAGTAGGTAACTCTTATGTTTTAGCAAATACCAAAAACAAACCCAAACTGAGAGACTTAATAGTGCAGCTCAGTGCAATATGTGCACATACTTATCAGGCATCAGGACTCAACATGTTAGGAAAACTCTGAATTCAACTACAAGTAGAAGAGCAAAGAACAGTGTGTCTCAAGACAGAAAAAAGTACTAAATTCCAGATTAAATCATAGAAAATCATGATAGTTATAGTATTTAAAAGTAAATTTTACTTTTTTCTTTCTAATGTTTTTAAGCACCTTACATGTACTGTTATTAATCTTCACAACAATTTCTGAGTTGGGTAAACTGATGGTCAGAAAAGTCAGTTATTAAATAGTTGAATGAGTGAAGGAGTGGGCAAAAAGACCACATTAGCTTTAATATTTGGGGAACTGTCATATTCCAACCAATTTTCAACTCACAAGCATTTACAATTCTGAATTTCCACCCATAATTAAAACTGGGTCCATATCAGTAGGCTAGAACAAATAAATGATACAACTGTTATAAAAAGGATAAAAATGGCACAATTTTCTCAGAAACTAGGATAGGAATGTTGGTCTTACACTTTACATTTTCAAAAAGACAGAAGTAGGGCAACAACAAACTCAATTATAGTTGACACAACAAAATCCAGACCTAGGCAAGATAGAGTCTCCAGGAAGTATGGGAACTGGCAAAGAGTAGGCTTAGAGAAGGGTGGTTCCAACAAGGGTAAAAGAATGTATTCACGAATACCTAGTACACTAGAATGGAAAACAGAGACAGGAGGAAGGGATATTTACAGCTACAGGTAAGTAGCTGACACTAAAAAAATGTGACAGTATCTGGTAGCTCCTACGTACCATATAGAGGCTAAAAGATTTCAAGTCTTTAAGAATACCAAAAAGAGAATATGGAGAAAACATGGAAGGGCATCAGGGATAGAAGGTATGTGCCCAAGATGAGTCTCAGCTATTGTGATCAGCACAAAATGCAGGGATGGGATTGTCACTGGGACAATACCCTCAATACAAAAACTGAGAGTTTAGGTCAGGGGAGGACTTGATGCTAAGTTCCAGAGTGTTGGACTAAAGCTCTTTAGTACTTCTGACCACATTTTAGCCTTGTTTTAGAGTCTATGATAATGCTGAGACTACAAGCTACAATTGAATTATGAAGAGAAAATATTTATCAGGCTTGGAGACCAGGAGAGGAAAACAGCATTTGCCTAACTATAAGTGTATATTGGACCTGAATATTTTAGGATGTACAAATTCTATTGCTCTCAGAAATCATCTTACCATATGCTATAAAGTTTGATCTGGAATGTCCCTAAAAGCTTACTCTCCAGCTTGGCACAAGTGGGAAATGGTGAAATATTTAAGAGGTGGGGCCTAAACCAGGCACAATGTTATATGTCTATAATCTCAGCTAACTGTGAGGATGAGAAGAATGATCTCAGATTCCAGCCCAGCATGAGCACCTGAGCAAGACCCTGTCTCAAAATAAGATTTTAAAAGAGTAGCTGGTGATAGCTCAGAGTGATCCTGGATTCACCCCCAGCACTGGAAAAAAGGGGGGTGTCTAGTAGGAGATCGTTTGGTCATCGAGGACCTAGGCTTCAAGGAGACAGTGGGGCCCAGTACCTCCTCTTCCCCACCCTTCTCTCTCCCTTCCATCCCGATCATGAGGTAAGCAGCTTGTTCCACCATGCACTCCCTTCCATGATGTGCTGCTTTGCCACAAGCCCAAACGCAACACAGCCAACTGACTATGAACTGAAACTTCCAAAGCTGTGAACCCAAATAAATCCTTTCTCTTTATAAGGTGATTATGTCAGGTGTTTTTTTTTTTTTTCAGTAACAGAAAGTTAAGTAATACACCACATAACAACCAGTCTCACACCTATCACCTTAACCTGTAGTACCTAAGGATTCCCTGAATTCTATAAGAACACAGGGCATGATTAGGCTTGCAGATGCTTATTATATGTTTTTAGTCTCATCTTACATACCAGTTTTACAAAAGTAAGTTATCTAAAGTATGAAACTGAGCTAAATACAATAAAAAGAACCTTGAAAAACTTTACATAGAGAGATCCAACATGGCGGAGGGCGGGGAGGCAGCGATTTCAGTACCTCCTCAGTAACGGGGTCAGAGAGACGCATTGATACGCTTGGATTCTACCAGCTTAGAGGCTCCCGGTGAAATTCCACTGAAGAGAGACCGGCCGGCAATTGGTAGGATTTTTGGAGGTGACAGTTTGCCCCAGACGAGTGAATCTCTGCCACGCGGCGTAGAGGTCCGGACCTGCCAGCCGCTGCCCGCGCGACTTGGCCGTTGGCTGCACGCCCTTGGCCCCCGCGACTGGGCGGCTAGCCTCTGAGGCGCGGCTCAGCAGGAGCGGCGCAGGGACTCTAGGAAGAGGTCTCTAGCCAGGCCTTCATGAAGTAGTGAACCTGGAACTGAAACCAACCAGAGACAGACCAGTCCCACCCCTCCCTTCAGACACTCTGGCAAGGAGCCTGGGGCCCGCCATAGCAGAGAGGTGACGTCACCGGAGGTCGGCCGACGGAATTCCTTCCCAGCGGAATCCACTTTAGCACGTGTGTGACTCCCACTCCCTCCAGATACAAGCAGCCAGGAAACCTTGGGAATCTCTCTGGGGGCGTGTCTGTAGGTAAGCAGAGGGGATTCCCGATCCCCAACTCCTCTTACCACCAGTGGTGACACCCAAGGTCTTAGCCACCAGTTTCCGGGGGCATGTCCACCAAAGGGGTCCGGAAAAATTAAACTGTTGGTCCCCAGATCACCGCATCACAGCACTGGGGCTTAGATGAATGACAGAGAGAGTGCTCAGTCATTCGGGAAATAGGACACGCGGTGGGGCTGCAAGTGTAACCAGATCTTTGGGGAACCGCCTCTGGTGAACAGGACCTGGCTGGCTGGCTGGCAGGAAGAAGCGGGGGAGGGGCCGGAGAAGTGAAATGGCTCTGGACTAACAGGATTGAGAGACTCCCAGGAGCCGCCTTACAGGGATTGCTATCGCCACATAGAGGGCAGAAGCTCGGCTCCGAGGGCACAGCTCCGCCTACTGGAAGAGAAGAAAATGGATCTCTAAGACTTCAATTATTTTTCTTTTTTTTTCTCTCTTTGTTCTTTTCTCCCCTTTTCCTTCTTTCTTTCTTTCCTGTTTCAAGTTTTATTGTTCTTTCCATTCTCCTCTAATCTCTCTCTCTCCTTCTTTCTTTTTAAGAGCACCTTCCTTCCCCTGCCCCCCAACTTTCATCCCAAGCATTACGTCTTCCATTACGTGTAATTGTCTAAATGCAAATAGGTGAATGTTTCGAGGCTGTCTATAGGGCTCCTAAATACCTAGCTACTACCAAGACCCTGATCCAATCACCTGTTAGTATCCCCCTTCAGTAGAGCAGTCTTCTAAAGTAGCCAAGACATACTAACCCTCATACCACTTAACCTAAACATAAAGTCCTAAGAACAGACAACAAATCACTATATGCATAGAGAATCCGGAAGCCTTTTATGAATTGAATGAATCAGCTTTAAAGTACAATAAAGCCCAACATTTCTAGGCATAGTCTCCCACCACAAAGGAGAGACAACAGAGATAATACAAAACCAAAACAAATTTATAGGAGAAAGCAGAAACACAGCAGTCAAACAGAGCTGGAAAGTAACGTGAACAACATGAAAAAACAAGGGAAAAAAGGATTACAAACAATGCAAGACAACTTAAATCTACAGGAGGACCTAGAGGCATGAGAAAAATGGACAGAGAAAGAACTCAAGGCATACCTAACTCAGATGGAACGGAATATTAGAGAAGACATGAGACAGCAAGACCAAGCAATGAAAGAATATTTTGAAAACGAATTAAACAAACAAATTCAAATGGTAAAGAACGAGCTCTATCAGGAGATAGAGATTTAAAAAAAATCAAACAGTATTCCTAGAAATGCAGGAAATCATAAACCAGATTAAAAACTCAAATGAGAAAATTACAAATAGACTAGATCAAGTAGAAGTCAGAACATCAGATAATGAAGACAAAGTTTATCAACTTGAAAAGAATATAGTCAACACAGAAAGAATGCTTAAAACTCACGAGCAATCTATCCAAGAGATATGGGATGTCATAAAAAAACCAAACTTGAGAGTCATTGGGATAGAAGAAGGTATAGAGGTTCAAACCAAA